TAAGACAGGAGACAGTAAGACAGTGAGACAGGAGACAGGAGACAGTATGACAGGAGACAGAAGACAGTAAGACAGGAGACAGTAAGACAGGAGACAGTAAGGACAGTGAGACAGGAGACAGAAGACAGTAAGACAGGAGACAGAAAGACAGGAGACAGGAGACAGTAAGACAGGAGACTGTCCACTGACTGATCAAAGTTTGTTACTGATGTGATTCTGAAGTTGAGTTTTAAATAAAGTTCCAGCTGTTGAACTGAAGACAGATGTTCACACTAGAGCTGACTGTTCTTTAAGATTCAGTTACAGATCAACATCAACAAACATCAGAAACAACATCAGTTAATAAAACAGCATTCTGGGTATCAGGCATTAAACTATTAAAGTAATACAATTCATAAAGAGGTCACGTGACATATTCACCTTTTATGACGGTTAGATTTCAGGTTAAACTACTTTAGAAGACATGAAACAAAAAAATAGGAAACGTCAGATAAGAACAAACAGCTGATGTTTCTTCACTTCACTGGATTCATGATGGACTTTAAAAGGTTGACTCAGCGTTTCTTTTTTCTGTGTTTATAATGTGAATCGGACGCTCAATACTGTGAAAGTAGCCGAGCCATCGTTAGCTCTGCTGTTGGTAAATAACTGGTTAAACACACTGGTTTAGTCAAAGAGGTGACAATATTCTAAATATAACGTACATAGATTTATTTCTCTATCTTCAAACACAAAACAATGATTGAACCTCTCATAACATTGATAGTTCACACTGCTCCTCTCTAAAGTCACTGTTGGGTTTGTCCCTTCATGGTGGACTCCGCCTCCAGCTCGCTAGAAGCTCATAAAAACACAGTGATGAGTATTATATCACATTTCTGCTCATAGATCCTCCTAAAACCCTTTAAACATGACACACTAATGAAGGTCTGGGCCCCGTTCCTCGTACGTGGTTTAGCTAAGTCGATCAAATGTCCTATTAGCAGCTTAAATTAATGAGATGATTGATGTCAGGCTATCTCTGTTCCTCCAAGGCTGATCCTCTCAAACAGTCTCGTTAATTGGACCCAGACGATCAGGATCAGGATAATTGCGCGTGCCCGTCCTGCTTCAA